CTCTTCCTCCCTCTCTCCCTCTCGCTCTATCTGAAGATAAACGCAAAAATGTCCTCGGGTGAGGATAAAATAAATAAATAAACAATATAAAGGGTGCATGGACCAGGGTTGGGGGGGCTCTCTCATCACCCAGGTTTCCATTCCTGTTACTTAGAGAACACAAGTGGACCAGGTTTGTCCTGTTAGATAAGAGGTGATCACTGGGGATCAGAATTTGGGTCAGGCTGTCCGAGAAATAGATCAGTTCACCTCAGAAACAAGTATGGCATTGACTGGAGTGAGCGACACCACTCACGACGCAATTCCGGCGAAGTCACCGCATGCCGCCTGGGAGACGCAGCGGAGGCTGACCTGCAGAGGCCCGGGCTCCGCACGCCCTCTCGGAGTGACAGAGCAGCCCACAGAAATGCCAGCCACACCCCGACAATGAATGCTCCACTGTTCCCCACGGGCTGCCCGGGACATCTTCCAGGCACCGCTTTTGAATTGCCAAATCCCCAAAGTTCAAAAGTCTCTTTTCAAATCATCCGAAAGGATGGAGAGGGGGAGGCACTACTTGAACATGCTCTCGTTTGAGGCCCAGTCAAACTGAACAACTTGCTGTTGAGAAGTGGCGTTTCCCGAGGACCAGAAACGTGGCGTGGGATGTGTGTCTCGCGAAGCTGTCTTAGTGAATTCCGTCGCGGAGGGCACCGCAAAATATCTGGCAGGTAGAAAGACTGACCAAGGACTACCCAGAGCAGGGACGGAGGTTTCTGGCAAAGGAGCAGATATTAACATGCCAGCTTTCCTGTCTCAGGGCAGCCACTCAGCTCTGCCATGGAGCTCAGAGCAGTCTCAGACCACACGCCAGTGTCCCAGACACTCCCACACAAACAGGAGGCCCCGTTCGCTGAGCGTGCCCCCGGCCAGCCACTGTCAACCAGGACACCGCAGGAATTTTTAAAACATGCAATACCTGACTATTTGGTCAAGGGCACTGACCTCCTTTCCCTTAGATTGTCCGATTTTAAAAAAAGGGAAAAAATGACAACCACCAGCACAATAACAGCCGTCCAGTGTGAATGAATCAAAATTACACCTTTTTTTTTGGTCAGATCAGCAAAAAATATATATTTTTTGGTGGGTAGAATTTTAGTAATTTGTTTATGTGTGCTATGAGACGAAAAAGGTTGACCATGAAAGTCCTGGGGTATTATTGAGTCAAGGACAAACATAATCAGATGAGTCTTTTAGAATGAACCGTGGTCACTGCTTTAGGATGGAGTCAGCATGTTTTGGATGTTACGTGAAATAAATACCGGTTTGATCATGGCTCTCAGTTATCGTATTGTTACTATAAACAAGTGGGAGCAGTTGTGTTTCAAGAAAATCTGATTTGCACAAACAGGCGGAGGTCTGAATTTGACCCAAACCCTGATGCTCTAGGATCCCAAGTCAGGGATTCTAATAAATGAGTGATCATCCGAAATCGGCTACTGTGGTTCTTCAAACACCTGCCACAGTATAGAAACCCACTTACAGCATAGTAAGAGCCCCTGATCATACCGATATGGAGATAGGAAAAGGAAGGGTTTTTTCCTTTGTCTGTTAACTAGATGCATTCAAACCAGAGACAGCTCCCAGCCGTACAGGACCAGCTCCTCTTTCAGAGCAGACATGAGGCAGTGCTCAGTGTTTGGCTGCATTTGTGGGAGAAAGGGTAACTGCAAACCGATGACTCATATATCTTCTTCCCCACTCCACCAGCCCAGCGAAACCACTGAACCATCTTTCAGTCTCTGCATTTCCATGTGACATCTGACATCAACTGCTGACATGCCCATGATGAGTTACAGGGGAAGCAATGCCACCAGAGTGGCTCTTGAACTTTCCAGGACCTGATGTGCACCATACCATCCTGTTCAATCCAGCTGTTGGTGCCCACAGCTGGGAACCAGGGAGAAAGGCTGTCACAGTTTAAAGAACAAAAACCAGTTATCTGCTTGAGAACTTCCAGAAGAAGCTGCTGGTAGACAGAGTTTGCTGTTTCCAGGCTTAGTGAGAGGTTCTCCAAGGTGGGGAGGGGGCACTGTGGCTCCCTCTATCTGGAGACATTTTTGATTGTCCCAACTGGGGAGGTGCTCCTGGCATCCAGTGGGTAGAGACACCAGAGATGCTGCTAAACATCCACAGTGCACCTACGGCCCCCCACAACAAAGACTTATCCAACCCAAATCGTCGACGATGCCAAGGTAGGAAACCCTAACTTATGACTTCACCATATGATGACCCCGATGCCTCAACCACGCATGCACAGTCCAATTAAATTCCAGAAACTCAGCTCCAAAGACCATTTTTGATTGACATGTCGAGTTGATCAGATGACAGAAAAACAGCAGTATAAATTAAGACTTGCTGATGGTGCCCTGGCCAGTTTGGTTCAGTGGTTAGAGTGCTGGCCGCGGACCGGAGAGTTCTAGGTTCGGTTCCCACTAAGGGCACCTACCTCGGTTGCAGTTTGTCTCCAGCCCCAGTTGGGGTCGTGTGTGGGGCAACCAGTCGATGTGTCTCTCTCACATCAATGTTTCTCTCTCTCTCTTCCTCCCTCTCTCCCTCCCACTCTATCTGAAGATAAATGCAAAAATGTCCTCAGGTGAAGATTAAAAAAAAAAAAAGGACTTGCTGATGGTGTCTGTGTGGCTGTTTCTTTGTTAGTTCTGAGGGGAAAAAAGCATTACTTTGCAAGGGGTCATCTGTAAGGGAGGAAGAGAGTATAAATATTTTCTGAAGTTTCCATGAGCTCCAAAGTCCTATGATTATAAGCATCTAAGGTGGTTGAAGTTCTAACAGACTATTCTGGGGGCTTGGTCACTTTCTAAACAACACAACGTCTCTGTGAGGCTGAAGGGCTAAGATCAGATCACTGCCCTTCAGAATGCAGAAGCCTGCCTGGTGAGCTCTGCAGCGATACACAAGAAATAAAAAGTCAAAACTGGAGAAACTGAAAGTCTCTCTTTACCATTCATGTGCTTCTTCCTTTTCAAAGAAAACACTGGACAGACTGAGATAAACAGAAGGAGGAAATTACTACTGGACTGCTCGCCCCTTCCCAACATGGAAGACACGGAACCAGACACTTGCAAACAGCATCTGTTTCGCGTGTCCTGCACTGACGACTCTCTGGTGGTACCAATGGTGATAAGTGGCTTTCTTTATTTTTTTCTGGTGGGTTGCTTATAATATTTAGGAAATACGGGGTGTGACAAAAGTAAGTTTACAGTTATGAGTACGCAAAACAGAGTTTATTCTTGTATTACTATTTAATTATTTTCCACATAAAGAACTGTAAACCTACTTTTGTCCCACCCTGTATTACAGAAGACTGAAGTCAATGAGTCATTTAAAAACGCACCCTCTAAAAAATGAGCTAGTTGTTTTTCAACACAGGCTTCAAAATGGAGTGTTCCTTTTATTAATCCATCCGATCGAAAAAGGTGGCATTTCATTTAGACATATTAAGAGCCAATGACTACAGAAGCTGCCACATCTTGAAGAAATTGTTTAAAAGCAGACAGTGTGGTCATTCAAATAGCATGTGGTCATTCAAATAGCAGGTGCTAGAAAAGAATGTCCCCATTGTATATTAAAAGCAATCATTTTCTCCTTAACAAAATATACATATATGTAAAATTAAAAACTAACCAAGTTTCCTGGATCCTTTCAAAGAGAAGTGTGTGTGTGTGTGTGTGTGTGTGTGTGTGTGTATGCAAAACTTAATACAATTTCCTGTTTGAGCTCAAGCTTCCACCTGCTTCTGTACATTTTCAGAATCATCATTTGAACTTCACATATGCCAGGAACATCCCTTGACTGGGTCCCGAGATGGAACACCAACCTCCTCCTCACCCAACCCCCTTCTTGTATCTCAATTACATTATACCGCAGGGTCTCAGATCCTGAGGGCACTGAAGTCTCCATTCAATGACTAGACTTGTCACTGATCAGCAGCAGGTCGTCCCACAGATCAAGTCCATTCCAATCCTCAGTGACCACAGAGCTGGGGCACGGCTCCTCATTTGCAATGTTTGCTTTGTATTTATGTATATGTGCTTTTGTAAGTACGTTGTGTCTATATATATTTGCCTATATATTTTATGTGCATAGATAGATAGATAGATAGATAGATAGATAGATAGATAGATAGATAGAATCAGAAAGATATACACTGAAATGTTAAATGTGGTTATTTCCTAGCATAGAATTATGTGACTTTATTTTTTCTTACTATTTTTTTTGCTGGTCTTAGCATCCAACTTTTTCTATATTAAGCATAATTTTTACCAAGCAAAAAAATAAGCAAAATTCCCTATGTGTATATATGTTTTTCTTACTCAACCTCATTTTAAAAAGGATTTACAGCACCTCCCAGAAAAAGTAACCAGTACAAGAAGATTCCGTGTAAAGCGAGGGCACTTGGAGACAAGGGCAGGAGACAGGGGCAGTCAGCTCCGAGGAAGCGGAAGGTCCCAGCTGTTGGCCAGCACCCGCTCCGAGGTCCTGCACGCTGGCAGGGCGCACACCGGCTCTGCGCTTCCAGGCATCCACAGAACATTCCTCCCCAGTCTCCTTAGCTCAGATCCACCAGTTCTAATTAAGATTTGTTTAGGGAAAGATAATGAGAATACTTTTCTACACTTCCTGATCGTACTCCCAGATGAGATCATGCAATCCAGATCAGTGTTGAGGGAGGACGAGTTAGCTGCAAATACAAACAGCAGAATGCTAACTCCCTGTCCCACTGCTCCTGGGGCTGAGTGTCAGTGTGTACAAAAGCTGAGGCTCTCCCCAAGGACACTGCTTTAACTTTTTAAAAGTGTCCCGCTGTGTGCAATTCACTGCCATGAAGGCAGTGGCAAGGGACACACTCACTCCATGACAAGACCAATTCTGAGAGCCTCTGGGGTCCTCTCGAGGTGAAACCACGCTCAGTCGAGAAGCCCCAGAAGCACAGCACTTACCGTAAGCTGTCATGACACCAGCGTAGGGGCCATCTACCACATTCCTGTTTTCTTCCGCCAGCGCCTTGATGTACCTCTTGCTGAGGTCTAGGATCTGCTCGCGCAGCATGGAGCTGCTCTCGGGCTGAGTTCGCTGCTGGATGGTAAAATGCAGGAGCATCATCCCCCAAATAAAGCCAAAAGTCACGAGGAAAAAGCCCAGCTTCTGCGAGGACAACTTCCATGGAGTAAAGAGAGCCATCGCTCTCCGGCAACTTCACCCGCCGCTGGCTCTTAAACCGTAGAAGGGAGACACAGGTTCATGGTGGGTTCGTCCGTCTCACTCCGGCTCCTGCGTCAGCCGATTTCCTCTCCTCTCTTCCATTCTGCTGTGAGGGGGGAAAGTGAGCACAGCGGTCACGGCAAAGCACGGTAAAGCACACCAGAGCCTGCTTCCCTCACACCACTCCAAAAGGGGAACTTCCTTTTTCTTAGTTTTCTGGTTCAGTATCTTCTGTTATGATTCAAGCCCTGTAAGCTAAGAGGGGAAATCTGGCTAGCTGTACAAATACAGAGGAGGAAGCGTGTGCCCGAGTGTGTTTACAGGTGTAGCAGGGCTGCTCCAGTCTGGACCAAGTTCAAAACAGGAAGTTTGTTTTGCAAGGTGGAGAGGAGATGGAAGGATATTTCACTGAGTGTCAGCAGAATCCAGGGGGAGGTGGAGTCATATCACCACCGGGCACTTCTGTGCATCTGTAAGGTGAGCTGACAATATCATTATTATGTGCTCTGGCAAGGATTCGAGCATGCAGCTGGAGAGGTGAGCAGAAAGGGGACGGCCCCCCAGGGGTAATCGGACAAGGACAGGGGAGAGTCCCCATATTACTTATGCATGGTCACCCTTCATCAGCAGTGTCAAGAGTGGAATCTCTGGGCCACCAGGTGGCCTCTCCCAGTGCAGACAGGCTATCCCGGGGGGCCAGCAGCCTTTCCGCTCTAGCTCCTGTAGTGAAAGCAGCCCCGACTTGTCACTGGCACACTTCAGCACAGGAAATGGGGAGCACACAACAGCCAACAGCCTGCTTGTCTGTGGCTCTGTCTCACACCATGTGGCAAAATGAGGTTAAAAGGCAGTTTCCTCTGCCGATCACGTCATAAGGAATACAAATGTTAATCGTACACTGTACACCTGAAACAAATATACTATTGTATGCCAACTGCACTTAATTTGCAAAAAGAAAGAAAGAAAAAGGTATAGTTTCAGTACTAATGCAACCAGATCCTATGTGGTATCAACACAGGCTGGGCCAAGGTCCTAAATCAAGGCTTTGCAACAAAATGGTCTGAAACATAGACTGCAGATGCGTTACAGGTAGGCTGATATCCACCCCTTCGGCCGGAGTCCTGGGCCCAAGAACCGGCCAGCTTTCAATGACACCATTTTCTAAGTGTGCCCAGGGAAAGGCTGAGCAAGGGTCTGCCGTGGGGGACGAGTCCAGGATGTATTCAGTGTTCAGAGTGTGCGTGCATTTCAGCTCAACGGATTCTGCTTCTTAAGCAGCCTAAGAAGAAATGATAACGAAACCTTGGAGCTATTCGCTTTCAGAGTCTGCAATGCAGCAAATTCATATTGGTCTTCCTCTCTCACCATCTTTCCCCCGCCTATCAGCAGTCATCAGCAGTGGGCCATACCACTACTAACACTATTAGTAAGTAAGTAAATTCCAGGTATGTCTCACACATTGTTTTTTGTGTCTTAGCTCCCTGAACTCTTATAAGAGTCCCCTACAGTTAAAACTATTAATATTACTATGTCTGTTTTAGAGGAGAAAAAAACAAAGGCATAGGGACATGCACTTGGCAGAGGTCAACCAGTTGTACGGCAGAGGACATCACACAGGGACAGCAAGCCAGACCCTGCCTTCTCTGTGCCACCCCTTGCCCCGCACCAGCCTGTTTATCTATGGCCGAGACGGTTTGTATGTGCTAAATGGTTGCAGAAAGTGAGTAGGTAAACGAAATCCTATGTAGCTCAAAAGCCTAAAACGTTTACTATTGGCACTTAACAGAAAATTCTAGGCCAGTGGTTTTTAAAGTGGGGTCTGTAACTCTGCAGCAAAAGGAGCAAAAGTGAGACGCAAATCTCAGGCCCAACACAGACCTACTGTATCAGAAACTCTGAGGCAGGGGTGAGGGAGAGAGCAGGCCATGCTTCAACAAGTCATCCAGGTGATTCAGACACCAGCCCAAGTCTGAGGCCCCCGACACAGGCAGAGGGCTGCATCATCACGCCAAGCCCCACACTGCCAACACGAGGCAGCCTGCGCTCCATCGCGCACTCCGTGACCACCTACGGACGCTCCTCTGTGCCATCCACACCTGCACACCTGCCGGTGTGCCGTCACTGCAGCCCTGGCCGTCCATCTCAGGGTGCGCTGCCTTCACTGGCGCTGCTCCCCCCACGTGGATGGCCTTGCCTGGAGCATGCAAACAATCCAGACCTAGCCCATCCCCCGGCCCCAGCTGCATCAGACCACTTTCGCCCCGGCTCCAGCCTACGGTGCTCCCTCCGAGTCTGCAGCTTTAGAACACTGCCTGCTGGCCCTGGCTGTTCCACCAGCTCCTGTGTGGGACCCAGTGAGATCCTCTAAGGGACTCCCCTGTGCACCTCAGGGAGACACAGGCAACAGGGCACAAGGAAACAGCCAGTCACCTGGGCACCAGGGCCCTTTATGCCGCCCTCTAAACGCAGACCAGCTGCACAGCGCCCGCCCTCACCGCTCCCTCCTTCCCTCTGACAAGCCTGTGCCCAGCCCTGCTTCCCACTCCCAGGCCCTGGGGGCCAAACGGCGAGTGTGACAGGGTCCCCGCCCTCAAGGCTGATGTCTAGAAGCCATTCCTCTAACTGCTGCGGGCCCCAGCTCCTCAGGAAACGGCTGCACTTTCTTTTTGATAGCCCACGCTGGTCAGCTGATTTCACCTCAGCACGGCAGAGGTTTTCCCGGCGCAAGCACACCAGTCACTATACCAAGAAAGGCAGGCTTGGTGCTGTGGCAAGAAACCCACGTGCTGCCAGGAATTACCTGTCCACACTCAGACAGGAAGTCACAGTCTGCTTCCTGGATTAATGTGCAGGAAATGCTCACGGCTGCAGAGTTTAAACAAAGAAGGCCAAGGGCCAAGGACTGGACAAGGGCGTCAGCAGGTGACTCGCTTCTCCGCGTGGTCCCAGGGAGCCGGGACCACCCGGGTGGTCCCGGCTCCCTGGGACCACGCGGGTGGTGCATTCAGGGGGCAAAAAGATGGTCAAGAAAAGCAGTCACGGTTAAATCATGCAGCTCAGAATCACGCAGATTTGAAGTGAAATCCCTAAGGCTAAGGAGTGTAGAGCCCAGTCTGACTGCGGAGGCCCAGCTCGCAAGTGACTACAGAGCTGCTGGGAGTATTCTTCTCTCCAGTGGAATCTGTCATTTGAAATAACAGCAACTAGGTCAGCATACAAACAGCACACACAGAGACCTCATCTACACAATTCCTCTTTAAAAGACGGAATTTTAAAAGACTTTCAAATCACTACTCGAGAGATGCCCCATGTTCTACAGTAAAGCAGGTGGCAGCCCTCAGCAGAGGGTTCCGGTGCCATGAAAACACCTAATGATCACCATCAGTAATTAATCAAGGGGCCACAGAACAACAGTGACTAAAAAGTGGTCTGCCAGGCCAAGCCCTGCCTGCCTCCGACCTTCCAGCGGCTGGAGCCTCCAGCCACGAGCACCCGACAGGCACAGAGAGGACTAGACGGGATGTCGCAGACGGCCTTGCTGCCGACCAAGGCGATGACAGCCCAGGGCCACGGCTTCATCTGTTCTCCTCCCACAAGAAGTCTGCACCAAGTTTGCAATGAGTTAAGCTTCGCGATCAGTCGCTGCCACCGACCACCCTGACCTGCACCCCCTCTGCTCCTGTGCCTCCTGAGGGCAGCATTCACCTCTTCCCCCTCCGTTCACGCAACACCTTTCCCACTGGCTCCCACCCTTCCAAACACGGTCAGAGATCTTGGGCAAGAAAACGTGCCTGTTCTCTTTATCCAAAAAATAAAGGCACCTGAATGGCTGCACAACATCAACAGCCACTGGGAGAGGCAAATCACCACCACAGTGCTACGCCAATTCTCACTCGTTAGCACGGCTGTAATGAAGGCGGACACAGAATAACAGGTGCTGGCGAGGACGCAGACAAGCTGAGGCCCTACAGAGTGCCAGATGGGTGTGCTGGGCGCAGCAGGTGTGGAGAGGAGTTCAGCAGGTCCCCAAGCGGTTAAACCCCGGTTACCGTATTACCCAGACAACCCTGCTCTGAGGAATTCTCCCAAGAGAAATGAAAACATATGTCCACACGGAAATCTGTGCACTAGTGTTCATGGCAGCGCTATTCATAATAGACCAAAAAATGAAACGACCCAAATGTCCATCAACGAGCGAATGGGAAAGCAAAATGTGATACAGTCATACAATGGGATGTTGTCAACAAAAGGGAATGAAGCGCTGACACCTGCCACAGCTCGGATGACCCCTGAAAACATGCTCAGTGAAAAGAGGAAGTCGCAGAAGACCACGCTGACCATGTATATGGAACGTCTGCAACAGGCAAACCTATAGAGACAGCGAGTACGAGAGCAGCAGCTTAGGACCTGAGCAGATAGACTGCTGGGAGGTGACCACTCGGGCCTGGGGAATTTATCTTGGGGGTAAAGCAAATGTTCTACAATTTGTGGTGATGGGTGCACAATTCTGTGGGTATGTTAAAAGTTATTGAATTTACACACTTTAAATGGGAGAACTGTATGGCATCAGCTCACTTCCAAAGGAGGAGCTGAAGTTGGAGGTGGGCAGAGAAGTCTCCTGGCCCCAGCGAGGACCCGCCCCTTCCCTCGTTCCCACGGCACAGCCAGAACCAGGCTACACCATCACTAACGGCCGAGCACAGGCCTAGCAACAGAAGGAACTTACACAGAGAAATCTGCCACCGGCGCAACAGACATGGCTGCTCTTACAAGCTCTGGAGCAACCTCCCAGGCCACCCATCAGATGGTTCCTGGCCGGCCTTGATGCCAATTGCTCAAACCATCTGAAGACACCCTGAGAAAGAGCCCGGTTCCAAGAGAGGGAAAGCCAGCCTGATGAAGCAGTTCCTTCAGGTGCCCATCCAATGCCCCACTTCTTACATCAGAACCTGTCCCTTCAGAGGCTGAATGAAGTGGGACATGCCTGTTCCTTCAGGAGGAACGCCAACCCCAACCACGCTGATCCGATCTTTGCCGACAGCCCCACAGGACAATCTCACTGCTCGCTGGTCCCACATTCACACGGGACAGTACTGGTCTAACTTA